GATTTCTTATTGAATTGAATAGATCTGCTGGCAGTACATTAGTTTTGTTAGTCTGAGAAGGCTTTTGTTTATTTGTTCTTTATGAGATTTTGCTGGATATAGAATCTGGGTTGTTATTGTTTTTTATTTTCCTTTCTTGTATGACTTTAAAGATGATACTCCACTGTCTTCTGGCTTTTGTTATTAGTGATCAGAAGTCCATTTCACTCTCAGAAAATTCCTCAGAAAATGATATTCACTTTCTCTGGCTGCTTCAATATTTGCTCCCTGCCACTGAGTTTCAGAAGTTTAATTATTACATGTATATATGTACACTATTGTTCGAATGTATTCTTCAAAAGTTCATGGGTTGGAAACGTAATACCCAAATTCATGTTAATGGTACTTGGAGGTTCGACCTTTGAGGCGTAATTACAATTAGGTGAAGTCATGAGGGAGGGGCCCTTGGGAAGACATTAGTGGCTTTATAAGAAGAGGAAGAGAGAGATGAGCTAGCATACTTGTTACATCTTGCCATGTGATGCCCTCTGCCATGTTATGATGTAGCAAGAAGGCACTCACCAGATGGTGGTGCTATGTTCTTGGACTTCTCCAGTATCATGAAGCACATAAGTTTCTATTCTTTATAAATTATCCAGTCTCAAATATTTTGTTATAGCAACAGAAATAGAGCTAAGACTGTGTGTAAATGTGTGTGTCATCCTACTTAGTGTTCTTAAAGCTTCTGAGATTTGTGGTTCTGTGTCTGTCCTTAACTTTAAATAATTCAGTCATTATTTCAGATATTTCTTTTTTATTTCTCTTTCTGTCTTCTATTTCTGAGATTCAAATTATGCACATTTTGGAACGTTTGATATTGTTCTGGAACTGTGAGGGAGTCATACTCTATTTTTCCACATACTCTTTTCTCTTTGTGTTTCAATTTTGGTTATTACTATTGCTCTACCTTCTTGCTATGGTTCTATGAGTCGGCTAATGAGACTGTCTAAGGCATTCTTTATCACTGTTTCTGTGTTTTTCACTTCTAGAATTTCCATTTGATTCTTTCTTAAAGTTTCCATCTTCCTGCTGAAATTAACCGTCTGATCTTGTATGTTATCTGCCTTTTTCATTAGAGTCTTTAGTATATTAATTTTAGTATTTAAAATATTCTCATAGCAAAATGGTATAATAGATCATCTTAGTAGTCATTCCTTTACAGAAACATCCATTGGAGAACTCTCCACACATGAAAATAACTTCCTAAGATCTAAGGAATTCAGGTGAAAGATTAAGCATCTGAGTGTAATATAGAAATAAAAAAGACACGTTAAAGAGTATGAAGGACAGTTTACATTATTCACATCAGCCTGTCTGGCAAGCCCATACAATACCTTCTGCACAGAGAAGAGTGAAGTAAGCATCTGACATTGCTGTGGATCCTTGCATCTGTTTTGTTCCAGTGAAACTCGGCTAGGCCAGTACCCAGGCTCCAGTTGGACAACCATGCATGGAGTTTCTAGGACCACCCCAACACTAGGCCAGTCTCTGGAAACCCATCTTCAGACCCATCTAGTATCAGCTTGGTGCCTATGAACCCCAGCATGCTCACACTCAGAGACCCAGGCACCAGGCCAACATCCACAGACCTAATATTAAGCCCAGCTCTTATAGCCCCTGCATGCAGCCCAGACCTGCTCTTGCAGACCCAGGGTCCAGGCCTGCTCCATGGACCCATGGTCCCATGGACCGAGTTTATAGGCAAGATTCCCCACAGACCACGCTTCCAGGACTCTCCTAGCACCAGACTGACCTCCATAACCTAATGCTTCAGGCCAGGTCCCATAGATCTAGCTTCTGTGTCAGTATCCATAGATTCAGTTTTTAGGCTGACCTGCACAGACCCAGGCTCCAGGCTGCCCCTTGTGGATCCAGACTTCCCTGTGGATTGAGGTTCCAGGTTGGCTGACCCCTACATACCAAAGACCAAGGCTCGTTCCTGAAGGCTCATGTTCAAGGCCCACCTGGTTCCAATTTGGTCCCCACGGACCAAGCCTATAGGCCAGCTCTAAGGACCTAGGCACCAGGTCAGGACCCACCAACCCAGGCTTCAGGCCAGCTTCCATTGCCTCAAGCTACAGGCTTGCTGCAGTAGATCCAAGATACAGGCTTGACCTGACTAATGTAGCCCATGTGCTGCCTAGACCAGGAAGGAAGTCCCTTGTTCACCCAATCAAGCAGTGGTCAGTTTTTGGGTGGAAAGGAAGATGCATTCCAGCTGTCCCGAACAACAGAGAAAAGCGGAAAGTGGTATTTATTTATTTATTTATTTATTCCCTTCTTCAGTGAAATAAACCTAACCTTATGGTAGAAGAGTCTGTCTTGAATCAGAAATGGTTTAACTGAATCACAACAGGAAATGACTCTAGTTACAGCCCAGCTTGCTTTAGCTCCTACTGGGCTAACAGAGCATCCCATACCTACTTTCTTTAATGCTGGATCTAGCAGGTAGCTCCCCTGAGAGGCCTTGGCACATTGCACTGGCCTTTGCCATTGGGATTTCTGCTCTCAGAATAGCCTCAAAAAGAATGAATATTTGCCAAAGGAAGAAGCAGTAATCAGGAGTCCTGTCTCTAAATGTAGCTAATTTCTATTTAATTGGCCAGTAACTGCATTTAAAATAAACACCAGTTGGTAATCAAAAACAGGAGGATAAAGGCTGAGCAATTGTGTAAGCAAGATAGAATTACTAGGCCGAAACAAAGTTGGGGAGAAAGTGGGGAGACATGCTGCTTCAGAGAAAACATGGTTAAGGGAGGAGGAAGGCAGCAGCTGTGGGCCTCACAGATCTCATAAGATTGATATCAGCTTCTACTTGTGTTTGTTAGCCATCAACAAAATGGATTTTAATCACCAACTGGTCTTTAGTTATAAAGCATTTGTTCCTTTATTAAATAAAAATTAAAAACACATGTAAAGGGCAATTTTAAAACTGTCAAACGAGATGAGCTTGGTACATCCTGGTGTATCCCCAGAGACAGAGGCAGAGATTGGACAGTTTTCTAGAAAAACCTTAGCTCTTGGGCACTTGCAGACCCTCTGGCTGCTGGCAGTATATAGGCTTACAGGCAAATGTGGCTGCTCCCCTCCAGGGGAGGAATGTGGAATCCACAGAGCTGGAGCAAGGCATGTCTTGCTGCCAAACCATCCCCTGTGTTTGTAATTCCTGTCTTTCTGCACCACCCAAGATGTGTGGACGTGTCTTGTAAAGACTCTTTCCTTTGCCTGTGCTGTTTGGCACTGGAAGAGGAGGTGGTAGGAGGAAAGAAAGAGAAAGGGAAGGGGCAAGAATTGCTTGAGTAGGATCCCTAGGCTGTGAGTAAGTTCTTCAAATCCAGTTTTTCTTTGAGGCAGACATTTTTCCAGTTAAACTTTAAACCCAAATCTTTACCCTATCTATCTCCAAAGGCAGGCTCTGTGTCTCCCTCCTAATTAGCATGAAATTATTCCTTTTTTCTTCATTAAAAACTGAGATTGATTTTTTCAAAGATAAAATTCACATCTCTGCTTAATGTTTATTTGATTCATTTGGAAGCAGTGCATTTTCATCAGAGAGACTAAAAAGCCCTGGGAGATTTAGTAAAGAAGGACCATGCATGAGGGTCACAGTAAGTAGTACTTCTCGTCAAACCAGCTGCCCAGGGAGGCTAAAGTGCTTTTTCAAATGGGAACTCATAAGTCTGCTCAGCATTTACTGTTTTCTAAGAGCCTTAGCTAAATTAATCACAGCACATAATAACCCTGTAAGGTAAAATAATGATTCCTTGTATTTTGAAAGCAATCAGTGGTCCACAAAGAAAGAGGTAATGTCCTCCAGATCCAAGATTAAAACCCGAACATTGAGGGAGGCTTCACTCCCTTCCTGTCATCAAATGCCAGCTTGTTTGTATCCAAGCAGGGCCTCGGGTGAGCTGAGCTTGGTCGGAGCAGCCCATGGCCACAGAAATAGCAGGCCACTGTACTGCCTAGGCTGGTGGGCACAGTCATCTTCTGGGGCTGTGGGAACGCTGTCTGGGTGTGGCGGGGGGCTGTTGAGGTTGTTTATAATTATATATTTTCCTTGTAAGTGTTTCGGAGTCAGCCAGGCCTCCTGCTTGGGGACTCAAGCCCAGCCAAGTCCTGCCCCAGGCCACCCACACAGTGGTAAGCCTGTGCAAATGGAGGCCAGTTCCCTTTGCACATTAGCTATGGCAAGAGTTTCTAGTAACATCTGCACGGCCACAGCAAAAGCCTGTAATTCAATTCTTTGAGCCAGAGTTGCAGATAAGTGTTTGTTGTATTTTTCTTTTCAGGTGATTATATAGCATTTGATTGTGGGGAAAGCCTGGGCTATCATGGAGGGAAGAGACTGAGTAGAATTATTTGAAAAATATCAGCAAAACCCTGTAAATGACTGTGGAGGAAGATGGCACACCTCTCACCGCTGGGGCCTCTCCCAGGAGAGCAAAGGGGACCTCAGGAGTTCTTCAGAAAAGTCAATATGATTCTGAAAACAAAGCTGCACTTTGCCTCCTGTGTATTGGGTGGGGAACTGTGAAGCACAATCCAGCTAAACACACTCATCCAGGCCATACCAAGTCAGCTGGGTGCTGGTGGAGCATTCCCAGGAACCTGCTGGGTCATGACATTTATGTGTAGACTCTATTCTCCATTGTGTCCCACAGGAAGAGCTCAGCCCATTCCATTAAAGATGGTTGAATATTTTATTGACTAAAAACTGGGGGAAGAAGCCGGATGGTAAACAAGTTTGGAGTATGTTTTTTAGTTTATGCTGTGTTTATATTTTATGCATAGAATCATTTATTTCTTTAAAAAATTCAAAACACTCCCCAAAATTCAGCAACTTGAGGAATAGCTACAAATGTGTCACAACAATATTTGGACACTTCAAAGATTATTTCAGGGACTATAGCGGTAATGAATGAGAGAAGAGACAACTTTTCTTAACTATGACATTTCAGCAGATGAGTCCAGACTTCCAAACCCAGAGCAGGCATTCCAAATTCACATCGTGAAGCGCCTACAGAAGGATTCTCCTGCCAGCCTTCGCAGGGTGGGGAGTTCTTCATTTCATCTTATCAAGGGAAATACCTTCAAATTCATGGAAAGGTTAGTAAAAGAAGGTAGAGTGGGGAAACCTGTGTTGGTTGGGAACACATTCTTCAGCTTATCTCCTTGAGGATCCTGTGGTCTCAGCCAGTGAAAGAGGTGCCCTCTGTCCGGGTCAAGGATTTCACAGGGATCAGCTTTTGCCACGCAGGCCTGGGAACAAAGGGCAGACTTGATCTGCCTGGATCTGCCTCTGTTCAGGGGGAGCTCCATCCCAGTGCCCATCACATGCTCCCTGGCATAAACCTTTTTAATAATTCTGACTTTGAATAACAAATTGACATGAAAAGTGCATTTAAGAAGCATGGGCACTGTCCACACTGAACAACATGATCCATGCAAATAAATTGGCCCATGCAGAGCCTGGATCTCAGCTTAGGTGGTACATCGCCTGGCTTGCTCTAACACATACTGATGGCTCCCAACATGTTCCCCCACTACACACGCACTCAGAAAGTAGGGTTCCATTCACCTAGATTGTGGCTTGGCTATCAGGACTTTTAATCTGTCCAAATGGCTCTAATGTTCAGTCAAGTCTGAGAACAACTGTAGGGTGATTTAATACAGCTTTTCGAGGCTTCTCACACTCCAGACCCAGCCTCACTTTTTGACCTTTTCTTCCCTTACTCTATCTCAGCTTGCACATAAGCCACAGAGATATTCCTCCTGTGCCTTGAATATATGCAGCTTGCTCTTGTCTCCATGCTTTCACATACAGACGTCTCACTCTGGGCACCTAAGGGAAGCCCAGCTCAAATGTCCTCCTCTTTGAAATGCTCTTTGCCAACTTCCCCATCACCAGTGAGTCACTCCTCATTCCTTGATCACAGAACACTTTGTGCATATCTCTCCTGGAGCACGTCTCACAACATATTAAAGATATCTGCATATAGGGGCCAGGGGTTTAGCTCAGTGGTTTCGCCACCGGCTGCACAAGCGCAAGGACCTGAGTTCGATCTCCGGTAACAACAAAAAAAGATATCTGCATATAGGTCAGCCTGCTCCCCCGGCCCAACACAATGTGAACCCTTTGTAATTTCAGCAATAAGCACAGTTTGGCAGGGTATAGTGTCAATGACTGCTCATCAAATGAATGAATGAATGAATGCCAATCGTGTGTGTTGTTGATGTTCTACCATACTGATCCCAGTTATTAAAACCATATTCACCTGGAAGACCAAGTCAGTAATTCGAAAGTGGGGGATATACATCATTGCTGTTCAAAGTGCAGCTCATAGGCCAGCAGCAGCTTTATTTTGTGCAAGGTTTTTACTTAGGTGGAATCCACATTTTTAACATCTCCAGGCGATTTGTATATAAATTGCAACTTGGGTTATCTATTTTAACAGATTCCCAGGTAACTATGTAGCCAGTCTGCCAACCAGCACATGGGACCCACTATTTTAGACTTCCACTTACTGAGCATAGGAGACCCTGTATGACTACGTATGTTCCTTTTGTTTCCCCTTTTCCCATCCTAACAAAGACTGCATCAGAACTATGTCTCAGGGAGGCTGACCCCACTTCCAGGCCCAGAAGTGGGTCTGATTGGTCCCAGAGACCTGCCATCCCCCTGCCCAGGAATTGGGTTCAGGAATGGGACCGTGACAAAATTCAGACCAATGAAATGTGAGGGAAAATTTGCTGGAGGTAATCTAGAAGAAGTTTCTTCGTTTCCTAAGAGCAAGTCTGGGGGAGGCTCTGTGGACCGAGGGAGTCTTTCTTTACACCTTAGTACATGATTTTGCAGAAAATGGTGCCTTGGACCTTCTGTTGCCATATTGTGAACAGCCTAAACAGAGAAACAAGTACCAGGAAGTTGGAGTGGAAAGATAGAAGGGATTTGAGGATTTTTTGTATGTGGGCTATGTGTGCATGTGTGTGTGTACATTGAATGAAACCAGGACCTTTGTGCTTTCTTAGTTTTTTGTTTTGAGACAGAGTCTCACTAAGTTGCTAAGTTACCCAGGGTGATCTCAAACTTTTGATCTTTCTGCCTCAACCTCTCAAAGTCCTGGGATTATAGGTTTGTGCTGCCACACCTGGCTAGGACTTGAGTTTTATGACATTACCAAGCTCTTCGGTCTCTGGATTTTAATAATGAAAAATAATTTTCTTGAGCCGGGGATTTGGCTCAGTGGTTTTGCTGCCTGCCTCGCAAGCGTAAGGTCCTGAGTTCAATCCCTGGTACCAAATAATAATAATAATAGTAATAATAATAATAATTTTCTTAACTGCTTAAACCATGTGTAGTCTTTGCAACCAAAACCATGAACTGACATTTAAATGTTTTGCTATGTTTATGCAATCATAAATATTTGAGCCCCTACCACTAGGCGCTATGCTAGGTGCATTATACAAAATTATCTCTACTCCTCAAATAGTCTATAAGATGGGTGTCATTCCCATCTTATAGAGGAAGAAACTGAAGCTTGGTACAATTAAGTTCTGTTTTATTTATTTTTTATTTGGGTGGTACTGAAAACCAAACCCAGGGGCACTCTACCACTGAGCAACATCCCAAACTTTACTTTTCTGAGACAGGGTTTCACTTAGTTTCCCAGGTGGGACTCCAACTTACAGTCCTCCTACCTTAGCCTCACTTAGTACTGAGATGGAACAATGAAGCTTTTAAATCAAATAGCTCATGGGTGGTAAAATCAGAATTTGAACCAAAAGTCAAAATTTGGACTCTGTGGGGCTGCAAAGCATCTGCTTTTCCCACTCTACTATGCTCTCCAGTTAGAATAGCCTTATTACTTGAGTTTTCAGTAGATCAATATTTCTCAAATGGTTGCACTCAAGACCCTGTACAGTCATAAAAATAGTGAGAATCCCAAAGGGTTTTATTTATTTGTATTATATCTGTATCTATTAACCACATTAAATATTGAAACCAAAATTTTATTTATTTAATTTCCTTAAACATAATATTAATTAATCCATTTCATGCTACTATAAGTAACTTTTTTTTTTGGTACCGGGGATCGAACTCGGGTCCTTGCACTTACAAGGCAGGCGGCAAGTAACATATTTTTATAAAAAATATTTTCCAAAACAAAATAGTGAATACAGTGACATTGTTTCACATTTTTGCAAATCTCTAACATCTGGCTAAATAAAAGACAGCTGGATTCTATCTGCTCTTACATTTAATCTGTTATGATATATTATTTTAGTTGACATATACAAAGAAAATCTGTTTTCACACAGACATGTCATTGGAAAAGGGAGAAGCATTGTATGACCCTTTTACAGATAATTCTATAATTTTTTGATACTACACCAAAACTGAACAAGTGTTTCTTTCATAAAGGGTAGTTGTAATGTGGAACTTGAAGCCATATTAATGAGTTTTTCATCTCTGTTAGATTAAAATCTATTGGTCTTTTACTTTGATGGGGTTATTTACTCATGCATGTTTTTAACATCAGACATTGGTCAGTTGGAAAATCTCATATTAAGTTATACAGATCTTCCACATGTAGACATATTATATTATGCCATATTAAAAATTGTATTTGTAGGCACTGGGAGCACAGCTCAGTACTAGAGTGCTTGCCTCACATACGCAAGGCCCTGAGTTTGATTACTAGCTCTGCAAAAACTAAACAAGTTGTATTTGTTAACATTGCCATCAGTAAACTTTTTTTTTTTTTTGCAGTGCTTCGGATCAAAACCAGGGCCTCATGCGTGCTAAGCAAGTTCTCTATCACTTAGCCACATCCCCAGCCCTTTTTATTTTATTTTGAGACAAGGTCTTGCTAAGTAGTCCAGGCTGGCCTTGACCTTGCCATCCTCCTGCCTTAGTGTCTCAAGTCACTAGGATTACAGGTATGTCTACTGTCCTCAGCTTATCAGTAAATACTTTAAATATTGGCAAACTATGAAGCTCAGGGGGGTGATACAAGTTTCTCCAAAATTCAAATTTTGGTGAAGGCTCAAATTTTGCCACTGGGGATAAATACTATCAAGTATTTCCTTTGAAATTGCAGATTTGGTTTTTCAGTTTTGAGGAAATGTCTGCCAAACACCCAAGTCTGAATAACTCTCTTTCACCCATTCTTTCAAGTAAATATGGTGTTCCTTTAAAAAGCAGATAGTGGGCCAGGGATTTAGTTCACTGGTTCCACCGTCTGCCTCGCAAGAACAAGGTCCCGAGTTTGATCCCCAGTACCAAAAAAACAAACAAACTAAAAAGCAGATAGTTTAGCTTGTAACTCAAACAATTACACAAATGCAATTTCCTTAAGACAAATATCCTTCAATGTGCAGCAGATGTGCTTTATGCATGCTTCCTATTTCATCACACAGAATTTGAAAAGGATGTGTACTTAAAGATTGAGATGCAATAAAATAAGTAGTTTTCACAGCTTGATCAAAGATATTCTTAAATGAATTTGTGGGAAGGATTGTTTGCTTGTTTTGGGGACTACAAACATGTAAAAGTAAAGAAAACTACAGTCACATAATCACAGTTTGGTGCCACTGCCTAGATTTGAGCTAAGACATCAGCATTTTTCTCTACCATTGCTTTTACATTCTCAGTACAAATGTCAACACAGTGATAAAGGTAAATGACATCTTAGTGTTATTATGGAAGTACAGTAGTTTTCACCTAATGCACTGCTTGCACTGGTCCTAGGCTCTCCATGGATCTGCAAGTCACACTTAGACCACTGCTACAGTAGGTTACTACTTGGTAAATGAAACTATGTGGGTTCATTAACAATATACTGTATTATGGAGACAAGATGGTTGTTGCAAAGGCCTGTCAGAAACTGAAATGTGTATCATATCACAGTTCTGGCTCCTGCATTTGGGTCAGTGTCACTATTGACTCAATGATTACCAGCACTTGGAGCCATTAAAAGATGGCTTTTAAGAGTCTCCAGGTACTGAAGCGTTTGTGAGACCACAGGCTGAAGGCACAGGAAATCCACTCACCCAACCATGTGCTGCCAGTTACAGACATTCTCAAATTCTGCAAATCCACAATTACCTTCATTGTTTTCCTGTTCAGATCATTAGGCAATTTCTCAACTTAGAAACACACTATTTAATGTTATCTGATTTCTGTTTATAATTCTTAAATTACTCCTATTAGTGAAGTCATTTAAGTTCAGCCTATCTTTGGCTAAAATTACTCTGATGCTGAATAACATTAAATAATAAAGGTTTTATATAGGTCTGAAGAGCATCATGATTCTCAGTGTCCTTCCCCCACAGGTTGCCAGAAATAGGCATCTTGGCAAAACAAAGCACCAACTCTGGGATGTCTCACTGAACCAAGTTCCTGTTTCCAGGAAAGAAAATCCATGACCATAACCCAGGACCAGTACTCTAAGGGATAGGATTTTCCTTTCCTGCTAGAAAAGGGGAAAATGACAATGGTCTTCTTGAATCCCTACAGTGGGAAAAGTCATTCAGAAATTCCAGCATGCTGGACTTCTTCATGCCAAAGATACTGTTGCTCAACTCATTGATTACACTGTAGAATTTGCCCTGGCGCCACCGGAAGGGTTAAATGAGAATCATGATCCTTACTAGCAGTCATGCTCAAGGCTAACCCAAATTAGGGAAAAGGCCTGGCATGCTGTTGGCCTACTGTATTTACTGAACAGATTTCTTTCTTTTTTTGGCGGGGGATCAAACTCAGGACCTTGTGCTTGCGAGGCAGGCAGTGGAACCACGAAGCTAAATCCCCGGCCCCTGAACAGATTTCTTAAAAGGGCAGAAGCAAGACAAACAACCAAAAATACTGACCTGAACTTGTTCAGCAGAATGATAGCTTCTGCCTTGCTGTATTTTTGCTGTGGAAAAAAACAATCAAGTTTTGAATATGGTAGGGAAGGAAGTTCCCCAGATCATCAAAGAAACAGCTCTGAGTTTTAACAAGTTTTTCCTAATACTTGACCTAAGATGTTCTTTCCTTTAGGGCCTCACAAAAAACAACTGAATCACACATCCCTACCCTCACTTCTGTGCTAGAAACAATGGAGTTGTAATGATTGTCTCAGCTTTGACCCTCTACATCTGCACAGTGAGGTAAAAAGAAAACAAGGAAAATCATCATTTTAAAATTGTAATTTTAAGAAAAACTGCAGCTTCAGGACATAAACTTGTCAAGCCTTTTTCCCTGCCAGGAAACTCACTCAAAAAAAGGTTTTGTTCAAGTCTTAGAGACACAGTAAGTCTCTAAATTGGGCTCTGGGCCTGTGCTTTGCACCTGTAAACTGCCCTTCTTCCTACAAACCTCCATCCTCAAACTAGCAGCAATATTGGTGGGCAGCTTATCTCAGTTTCAAGTACATATGAGTGGTTTACATTCTAAAATAGCCCCCCAGGTGGGTAACCTGACAGCAGGAATCTATTTCCCAGATCTCCATCTGGAGGACACCCCAGACCACATAGAAATCCCTAGCCCGTGACCATTATGTATCTCTCATAAAGGCCCATGCTGTTCTCTCTGTGTGTGCTTTTAGAATGCTGCCTAACAAACCTCTTTATATCTCTCACCGACACATTTTGAAAATCCTTTTTACTGTGATGAAAGCTACAGAACCTACCACCTACCCCCATGGGTGAGGTGAGTTGAGTTCCCTGTCTCCTCTTTGGGGGACCTCCTCTGACTCTGTCTGGTAATAAGTTCACCTAATTTGCACTTCAGGACCATCTCAAGACTTGGTAGGCAAGAAGAAACAGGGGCTATAGCACACTTGAGACAACTGTTTCCCAGGTCTGGGTCACATTATTCAAATCTGTGCAACATGCCTGGTCTCCTTGTGCTTTTGAGTCTCCACATAAATTCAGACTTGGCAGTGAGGCACCCATGGTTGCACTTCTACAGTATCTCAGGTGATCTGCCTTGCATATATCCCCAATCCCACAGCCCATTTTTATTTGACTTCAAGTTTTTGCTCAATACATTAGCTCTTATTATTATGTTGGAAGAACAATTATTCCATCCTTAGTGTAGTTCCAGTACCTTATATCTGTATTGAACTATAATGAGAAATGAACCAGTAAGTTGGAGGAATTTGAGTTATAGTTCTGCCAATAAACAGCCATATGGTAGATAGTGGAAAATCACATACCTGCTCTGGGCTTCATCTGCAAAATAGGGATTGGAGAGAGCTAAATTTCCACTGGTTTGTAAACTTAGAGACCAAAACTACACTTTTTTTTTTTGGTACTGGGGATCAAACTTGGGACCTTGCACTTGCGAGGCAGAGGGCAGAACCACTGAGCTAAATCCCTAGCCTACAAAACTACACTTTTAACAAAGTTTCCCTTCCCACCACCCTCTTCTACCTGTAATTTAAGGCAGCAATGCACTTTCCTGCTGAGACAGGCTTTTGGGACCCATGGGAATTGAGAGGTTCTAAGTCCTTCTCAGTACTAACATTTGTTTTCTCTCTATCTCCAAATGCCAAGTTTATCCTCCACAGTCACAACTTGCACTTAAACTTCCCAAGTTTCTGTGACTTTGAAGTTGTCCACATGGCTTCAGGCCACTCCTTGTATCTCCAGGCTGTAGTCTTGACCTTCCACAGCCTAAAGGAGACAACAATGGAGTGATTTTTAAAGCATCTTCTTTATTTAAAAAGACTGCAGCGGAGGGTCATAGAAGTCAGATGACAGTAAGTACTCCCAGGTTGGGTCAAAGGACATCAGCGGGTAGGTGACTCCTTCAGTGCCACATCCTAGTAGCTACACAAAGAGGCTTCTGAGGAAGAGAAAGGAAATCGCTGCCAGTTTCAGTGTGCTGTCTAGAGCTGCCCCTCCCATGGGCACTGAGGACCAACTTAGCTTTCTAATCCTGTGACCAACAACAACAAACTCACACCTGCACTGCTGGCCTGGGTGTTGAAGAACTTCAAGCACCCAGGTAATACAAACATTTACTCTCTGGAAGCGTTGTGTTGGTGCTACTTGTGAGCAAAGGCCAAAAACATGGTTTCTTAAATCCCCTGATCCTGTTAATAAGGCACACACTACAGAGTTAAAAAAGAAAATAAGCAGCAGTAAAAAATAAAACAAAGAAAGAGAAAGTAATTGGCTATGCATCTGTAGAAAAAGAAGGGAATCTGAGTGGTTTTAGGGAAAACAAAACCAGCACATACGGAAGAGATTTCAGGAACACCCAGATCAACTGTTAATATACACGAAACACAACATAAAAAGACCCCTTCGTATAGAACAGTAGTGGTGACCCTACGGCATGCATGCCGCAGCTGGATGTTTGCTGTCACTGAAAGTGCTAAAAGGTCCTCTGCCATTGATCTAGAAGCTAAACACTGAGAGAAAGTTCTGTATGGTGAGTAATTTATCCCTGTGTATGTTTACTCCAGAAGGCTAATAAAGTCTCTCATTTAAAACAGAAGCAGTCGAAATATGATTTGCTACTGAGGATGTAGCCCAGTGACAGACCCTTTGCCTAGTATGTGAGGTCCTCAGTTCCATCTCCAAAATAGCAATGAATGAAAAAAAAAAAAAAAATATATATATATATATACAGATGATGATTTGCCAATAAGATAATTATTGAAACAATATATAGAAATTGAGATAAAATTCTATCCACATTATATTTGCCCCCTTAAGCCACTATAAAAAATTTGAGACACTTCCAGTTAATATGCTTATTCATCTAAACTTACCACTAAAAAACTTAAGGTTATAATATTAGTTAAGGAGTTGGCTTCAAGAACTAGAGGAAAAAAAAAACAGGGGAAAACTTCTCAGCTGATCAGAAAGTCAACAATGGCATAACTGCTTACATACCTCAGGGAGTGACTACTTATAATCTTAAGCTGGCTACTTTGTTACGTAACCTTGGGGAAATTTTCATGGTTTAGTGTTGTTATAAATAAAAGGTGGCAACACTGTTTCATGGCTCTGTTCTGAGAAAATAAATGAACAATCTAAAATGCTATCATAATTCTATTAAAATGGAAACTTCAATGCAGTGAGCAAAATTTTCTCATCTTTAAGAACTGATAGAATATATGTGTATATATGTAACTATATATTTTTTAAAATTTATTTTTCAGAAAAAAAGGAAAGTCTTCCAAAATTAGTCAAATCGCAAGGAAACAGTAATTCATCCGAGTGGGGCAAAATGAGGCTTACTCAGCTTTCAGTTCTGTGTATTTTTTTAATAAAGAGACAGCACAGGAGCTGCAGGTATGTTTTGGTGGTAGAGCATGTGTGCAGGTCCTGGGTTTGATCCCCAGCAACAGGTAGAGAGAGAGAGAGAGAGATAAAGATACAATCATGTTTTATATTTAATAAGCATTCATTTTAGATATTTTCTATATATATTAAAAATAAGTTTCAAAATCCAGGGAGTTTAAGGAGAGCACATCTCCTTTATGGGGTATGTTGCTGATAGATATCTTTCACCTGTCATGGGAATATTTGGCCTACTTAAAGGTCACAGGTGTGTGAGAACAGATGGTACTGAGAACCGGAACACATTTGGGTTGAGAAAAGACTGTGAAAAACTGATTTGAGGTTAATGCTTTAAGAGTGATGATCTTTTTCCTTTTTCTTACTGAAATGCACATGAGGAGCAGGTTTTCTGTAAGAGCCATGTCCTGGGGATTTAACTTATATAGTGTATGTTTTTGTTTTCTGTTCTTTAGTGAAAGAAATGTCAAGTCCATCTCCCACCTTCGAATCAGAACAGTGACCTTTCTTGAGAATGGTAGCTACAGAGCTGTCCCTACCACCCTGGATTATAAACAGAAAGAAAAGAGAGTAAGGTGGGAGAGAAAGAAACGGGGGAAAAAAGCAGAAGAATGGTGCCCTCTCAGGTAGAGAGAGACAGGGTTTACATATTTGGAAAGAATGATGCTTTGGGTCAAGGGGAGACGGGTAGATGCTGGAGCCTGTTCTGAGCCATCACTACCAACCACTTTGTCTCAGCAGATGTCTGTGTTCATGAACTCAATGTACAGATGGCTAAGAATGGCTATAGCTTGGCATTTGGCCTCATAATGTATAAGAAACAGAGGCTGAGTGACTTCCAAGAAACACTGTGAACACTCAGCTCTTCTAGCCTCCACAGCAACTGTCCCAGCAGAGAGCTGTCCCAGACTTGTGCTCTGCTCCCAGACCCCACCTTCAGGGTGACCAAGAATATTGAGTGCTTCTAGTTCCTGAGCCAGCCTGTGCCCACAAGTAGCATTTTGATCACAAGGTGTTGGGCCACTTGGGCTGGAACCTCCCAGACTGAGCATCTGTGAGTTGACAGAGAAAGACAAGAGCTCAACCCTCTGACCTGGGCTATTTGAGAGTCCCTCTACCCGGCCTAGCTCAGTGAGAGACCCAGAACAGGGTTGCATTTTGGTCTCTTGGGGTCTCTGTCCAGCTTCTGAGCTTTGGATGTGCCCCACTGAGGCCAGCTTGTCCCCCAGCTCTTCTGCCAGCAGTTCACCCAAGGGCACCAGGTACTTGCTTAAGTGATGCTCCCTTGCCCACCTATGCAGGAGAAAGTGGCCTGGAGAGAAAGGGCAGCTGCATGGTTGTGGCCAGAGAAATAGCTGGTCTTGACTATATTGCCAGAAACCACCCAAGAGGGCAGAGGGACCCAGCAGCAGTGTCCTGGTGGCAACCTCGCCGAGCTATGTCTCTCATAGCAGGGAATGGTGTGGTCCCTTCTTCCCTACCTCCTCCCACACCACCAACTGGGAGGGTCTCAAAACTAAGTGAAGGAAGTAGGCCAGCATAAAATTCCGACTTAGATGTGAGAATGAGATTTTAAATTGGACTAACTAAAGGTTATTATCTGAAAATGACAAGAGAATAAAGGAATCTCCCCATAATCTGCTAAGTGGAAAGCATTTTGTTTTTGTTTGTTAGGAGCAAATCAAATTGGAAGGTAGTGATTGGAAAAAGTAAAGCCATTTTCTGTTTATGCTCCACAGAGTCGAGATTTCTCAGTAAATAATTCCACAGTCATAAGCAGTAAGGGGCCTATGAAGTTTGAACTCAATGAGCTTCCAGATCCTGTCCCTGTCTGCGATGCTGGATTTGATCTCAGCAGGCATCCATTCAAAAGAGGGCTGTGTCGCAGCCGGTGGAGATTCAGTTGCATGTGGGCTTGGAAGGTGGTGAGATGAGTGGCCCTGGGCCCCTGTCTGAGTCCTGAGGGGAAGATGGGAAGAAATACCAAAAGTAAAAGTAAAAGCTAAAGGAACTGCTTCTATTAAAACTGAGTAAAACAATGATGTTAAAACATTGGTCTAAAGTCACATGTATTTTAGTGCAAACTCTCCAGTCAAGAGAAAAGTTTTTGTTTGCCAACCACTGAATCTACAACTGTGTTATACAAGATGGAAGACAATAGTCGCATGTGACTACCTAAATATAATTTAAAATTTCAAACCTAATGTCACACTAGTTACATTTCAAGTGCTCATTCGTAATATGTATAGCAGCTACTGCATTGAAAAGTGAAAATATAAAGCATTTCCATCTTCACAGAAAAATTCTATTAGCTCTATCAGAAAGAAAAGGCTATATGTTCCAATGATGGAAGAGAAAATGACCAAGTTGGACTTCCAAGACATCAAGAGTATGTACAAAATATATTCCAGCCAGGGATTTAGCTCAGTGGTTTTGCTGCCTGCTGTGAAAGCACAAGGACCAGAGTTCGATCCCTGGTACCAAAAGAAAGATTCAAAATCTATTCCAAACTTCACATGCTAGCCAAAGATTAAAGCTTTATAACAGAAGGAGGAAGAGAAGCCGTTCCATTACTGCAGAGGATCTATTAGGCATGAACTCTGCTTTGGGAACTTGGGGTTGCTTTGAAGGAGGTTTCAAGGGCAGGGGCTCTCCAGTCACTTGGCAGAGATGCTAACCCCTTAGGAAGAGAAGGCAGGACCTAGAGAGGTGATGGCAATATTCAGGGGAGGTGATGGCAAGGCTAAGAGGGATCCATCCCATGATGATAATCTGCCTCCCTCTGGAAACTCTCAGAAAGTGAGACTTGGAGGGACAAGAGCCTGGGAAGTGTGCATGATAATACCCTGTTTTCCCACCAGGGAGAGGATGAGATGTAGCAGAAGCTCCAGGCTTGTATCTCCAGTTTAAAAGGAGATTCTTTCCTGTTAGCACCAACAAATATCCTACTAGGGCTTTCACTGGCTAGAAGATTCATCTCTAAGCAAATCACCATGATCCTTTTAGGATATGTTGCTCTGATTGACCAGGCTGAAATTACATGCCTGACTCTGGACAGGAGTTCTGTTACCAAAAGAAGGATGAATGGTGGTAAACTGGCAAAATCAACTATTGTTCATGACAAAAGCACTTCCTTATCTGTTTGGTTTCATAGCATGGTATTACATTCATCACCCCATGATAAAGATGGTCAGTGCCAAACTTAGAACCCAGAAACACATCAGTCTTTTCCATTACCCTTCTTACAGAGCAAGAAGTAAATTTATTCCTCTGTGAAATTTGTTTTACACAGCCAAGAATAGAGATTTTTCCTGGGTAGACATGCATCTGTTATCTCCATATCTGGCTGGTCTCCAAGGAAATGTGGCTTTGGTTTATATTGTGATATCACTTACAATGTCCTCTACAGTGTCTCACCCAGGAGGTAGAAAGAATAACTTCCCAGCGAGACCTTACTGATATGTGATTAAAAGTACTTTATTAAAGTGGAACATGACTGTGTATATGCAGGGAGCAATAAGTACAGTAATAGCTCACTCACCTGGACTCTGCAGGGCTGGTTTATACTTTCAACTCTTTAAAACACAGACTCCAGCCTGGGTGAGGGAAAGGTCAGATAAGACAGCTATATATTTAACTGCTTACTTGGACTTGCACTGGTTCAAGTTGAGCACATGTAAACGTATAGTTCTAGACATGTTTAATTTTCTAGCTCCCTTGTCCATGGTACACAAGAAACAGGAGTCTGAGTAGGGGTCAGGCAGGGCACTGTTGGAGAAAGTCATTGTCCTACCAGCAGAGAAAGTATCTGAGTTTGACTTGCTAAGGCAGCAACACTGCTGTTATTTATTTAACACTGACATTGGATAAGGTGGTAAGCTGAGCACATTTACATGCTGTGTCTCCTTTGATCTTGACAACTTTTTAAAAATCAAGCATATTGTCTTCTCAGTTTACAGATGAGGAAACTGAAGTTCAAACATGACATCCAGGTGTTAAGAAAGGGATGACTTATATTAAGCACATTTTAATAGAAAGGTTAGTACATTACAGTTTAGAAATGCTTCCTTGAACAGAGAAGCTCCAGGCTTCTGTATTAGTCAGCCTTCCTATTACTGGTATACAACACCAGACACCCCCAAATTAAAGGAGGAGAGGTTTAATTTGGCTCAGTGTTTCAGGGGATTTAGTTCATGGTCTGCAGGCTCTAAGAGAGGAACATCATGGTGGAAGGGTATGGCAAAGGTGCTTAGTTCATGGCAGCCAGGAAGCAGAGCAGAGAAGCAGCATTAGAGAGGAAGAGGTGAGGGATTAGATATAGTATCCACATCTCCATGACTCACTCAGTCAGTCAGACATGTATTCTACCAATCCCCTGGGCAGCTCCTAAGCTGATCAAGTTGACACAATTGAGTTTAACCTTCACATTACTAGAGACTTTTGGGAGCTTAAAGAAATACATGGAAAGTTCACTTACAAGATCTATCTCATCCTATGACCAGACACAATAAGGTGACTTTGAGGGGTCTTCTAGATCCAAGATCCATATTCTTTAGAGGCCTCTAAGGTCATATAAATGGTACTGAAGAGGTTGTCTATTAAAATAGCTACTGTCTCTATTGGATGTTGTGATAGTTAATTGTGGTGTCAACTTGAATAAGAAATACCTAGCAGGTTGGTTTAGCACAGTTCTGGGTATGTCAGGATGATTGACTTACTGAAAGGGTAAGAGGCAGCCGGGATGTGGGTGGCACCAACCAAAAGGCTTGTGGCCTGAATGGAATAAGAAGAGAGAGAAGAATAAAGGCTTTTGCTTCTCAGAGGAGCTCCAGTCTCCACCATTACCTTTGGATGGTCCTGCACAGACCCTTCAGCCTTCCAGAGCAGACTCTTCCGCTTCCTGATATGGACTCGAACAGGACTCTGCGGTGACTTCCAGGCCTTTGACTTCTGACTGGATCCTTTGGGTCTCCAGCACACAGATGGCCCCTTTACATTCTTCCACACTTGACTCTGCAGGTAGCCACTGTAAGCCCTCCTTGTAAATTCTATATGTATCATTCATATATATATATGAACATATACTCATATATATGAATATATATTGTATTAAATCTGATCCTCTAGTGAACCTTAACTGATACACATGTCCTCAGAGTCCCTTCAGGCCCCAGGAGGGAAGTCTGTGACAAAGGTTAACTTCAGTCTCTTCTCAGAGTGATTGCCGATAATGCAACCCTGGGCATGTCTGATTCCTACAGGTGCATTTTCCTAGTCATCCTGGATGGAGGGACATAGATCACTCCCACTCTGAGTACCCATAGGCCTCAGCACCCTCATCCCTTGTCTCCAGAGTACAGAGACACACAAAGTACCCTTTAGATAAAGGCGTCATCTTTGGAATTGAGGTCAATGGAGACCTCATTTACTCTCCCTTGGTCCTTGAGGCTTGATTCTACTGGATGAGGGAAGAACCCACTGGCTTGAGTGTTTTTTTGGCCTTGATAAGCAAAAACTGGAGAAAAAATTGATATATGCTTTCTGCAATAGTGATGTAATAAGAGAGACCCTTCTGCCACCCTCTCAGTAGGGCTGATATAATATTGAGAAGAATAGAACATTCATAAAGGCTGTCGAGAGTCACCTAGATTGTGTGGTTATTATAGGTAGGCTGTGTAAGAGGGGTATGTAGAGTGATGGTTCATTTGTCGATTTTCACCACCCAGTGTATTCCCCAGAAGGCCTGAAATAAAGGTGAAATAATTCATCTTTTCCTGAATGCCAGTGTCCACAAAGAACTCTGGAATATGATGGTTTTCTGGAACTCAGACGCACAATGTGAAATGCTTCTGTTTCTGACCCTTGGCAGTTTGGATACATTCATTGTTCTTCCTGGCCGGGGACTGACTCTCACTTCCATTCAGCAAACACCAGGCGGGGCAAGGGAGAGGCAGCCAGGAAGAAAATCTGTATATCAGAATTGGCCTTTGAAAAATAGAATTGATTACTAGATTCAAATCCTCCACAGGAATGGAGGGCATGATGTTCTCTTTCAAAAAAATGTATTTCATTTTCAGACTTTATAATATGTAAAGATCAAATACATACTCATAAGTGTGTGATGCTGGCTGGTCCTGGAAGAAACTGGGAAGGAACGAACACTGGATCTTCCACCCTCCACTTCTGCAACCTTTGCCACACCACATTTAGTGACTCACCTGCAGCAGATGTTCCATACACTTAAAATATCCTCCCCCAATAGGGAAAAAAGCCTGGAATAAATCTAAAGAGGAAGAAGCAGGATTGTGTTGTAATGTTTATGCCACCCAGAGGCAGAATATTATAAAAGACAGTCTCTAAAGAGGGAAACTCTTTGGAGGAGGAAGTTGCTTTTTTGGACAGGGTATATAGGAGCCAGCAAATCGAGAAGAACTGGAGAATTTTCTAAATTTTCCTACCCATGAGAATTGCCTGAGGGTAAAACTTGGCTTTCCTTAGCCTTAACCCCACCTGATCTTTTTGTTGTTTATTGAGACAAGGTCTCATTATGTAGTTCAGACTTGCCTTGAACTCACTATGTAAACTCAGGCTGGCTTTGAACTTAAGGTGATCCTCCTGCCTCAGCCTCCTAGAATGCTGCGATTATAGGCCCATCCTTGTGTGCTTTTTAGCAGAGGAACCTAGCAGTCTGTGTTTGGTGTCATTTTTATGACCAGCTGAACTCAGGAATCATTGGTCTAGGTGACCACCCATTCTGGAGAGCTGAAGGGAGTGTGAGGTTGTGCTTCTCAAGGAAGGAGATCTGGGTTCCATCTTTTGCGGGGGAGTGACATTGAGGATTGAACCCAGAGCCTTTGCACAGAGCTACATTGCCAGCCCTTTTTAAATTTTATTTTTTCTTTTGAGACAGGGTGTCACTAAGTCGCTAAGTTGCCCAGGCTGGACTTGAACTTGTAATCCTTTGGCCTCAACTTCCCAGAGTGCTGGGGTTACAGGTGTGAGCCACCGTGCCCAAGCTTCCATTCTTGACCTTCTTATAAGACAAGTGACTTGAGCTAATTATTTAGCCTCCACTGAGTCTGACCTGTTGATTGGATTAATTATCCTGATATTTCAGGGTTGCTTTGAGTCCAAGAAACCATTCCTGGCACATAGAATATCCTCCACACTCTTGGTTAATGATCATTCTTAATAGTAGCTGAGTAAGGATGATAATTCTTAATACTAGTCAAGTTGAATAAAGGAATTGTCTTTCTATCATTTTAAGTGGATGTTCAGAATCTTTTTAAAGCATTTATTTTAATGCTTTTAAACATACATAAAAGTATAGAAAATAGTATAATAGTCCTCCACATACTTATTACCTCACTTCCAGAAACAGAGAGGAACATATTGCCCTGCCTTCTTGTAATTCTGTTCAATTTATTTAAGTGGTAAGAAATGTAATGATCCTTGTGGTAACTTATGCTTGGTATTTTTTAAAAATTCTGAGAGATGATGCTAACTTTTTGTGGGTGAGAGGAAGGGAAAAAATCTTCAGGAAAGGCCAAGGTAAGTCAGCACCTTGACTATGGGTACAGTGATTAACATCCTGATGACATTCTGCCTGTTCAAAATATCTCTGTTTCAGGGCCTTAAGCCTATTCATTGTGTTCACAAACAGGCCCACTGCCTGGACCAGACAGCTGTGATAATGTGGCATCAGTGGCACTGTGGGGTCAACTACAACTGTGACAGATGCGTTTTCAAAGAGAGCAGAAGAGCCCTGCTAGTCTGAGCCCAGCACAGTGACATAACTAGAAAACTAACCAGTGGTTTCCAGCCCACTGCATATCACGTGCAGAGACCTGGGCGTCTTTTGGAGTGAAGGACATCTTGAGGAGGCTGGAACTCCGGGCCCGGTGTGCTAGGTGATGAGGCTTCCCCTGGGAGTGCGAAGGGCATGCATTCATGACTGCTTCCTTCCCAGCAGACCTTGTGCTCATTACCACGTTGACAGTCTTTGCCGCTTCTAGTGCTCTTTGTTCATAAATCATTCCTCTCATGTACTAACAACTCCAGTGAGAACTCAGAGCTCCTCATGTTTATTATTCCTAAGTTAACCATTGCATGGAAAACAGATCAGCCTAATAAAGAATGACCCCCAGTCCAAACAAAATATGAAGAAAAAGAAGCAACCACCAGTGTAGTTAGAGTTCAGCTCTGCTGACTGTACAGAATAGAAATGAGGATTCGTCCGGCAACTAGTTTTTATGTTATGAATCTAGGGCAAAGGCAGCTCCTGGGGTGGGGAGGGAGGTGCGCTGCGGGGAACGGCGTGCTGGGGGCGGGGTAGGGCGCTGAGACACCACATGGGCGGGGGGAGCGCCTGGGACCCACAGAAAGAAGGCCCAAGGCCCGAGCTAATGGCAGCAGAGTGTTGTTGTTAATTTGTTCTTGCCCTGCGACCCCCGGGAATTCACCAGGAACTTCTGAGGACGGGTCACAAGAGGTCCGCGCAGCACCTGACCCCGTCGTGACTGCCGGTGCCTCCCAGGCCTTCCAGAAAGGGCAGCTCTCCCTCCACGGAAGGCTGCTTATTGTGAAACTGACCCAGAGCCCTGCTGTCACTTGCTCACTCGCATTCCTGCTGGGTCACTTGCATTCTCGCTGACTCCCTCCCTGGATGTCGATAATCCCTGAAACATGCCCTGTGACTGCAAAGTGGCGAGACTTATCTCTAGGGCCAGAACTGGAACTCAGTCTTGTTACTTTTCAGTCATCCTGGGCATGTGACACACTGGGAGCACCTAGGAGGAAAGAGAGAAGTCAGAAAGGTGTCAGTTTCTTAAACAACCCAAACCTGTTCGTTGTGGTTGGAAGCAGGGAAGGGGAAGAGAGGAGAGGAACAAAGAAGGGAGGAAGGGTGAGCAGTCACAAATTAGCAAGAGGTCTGGCTCTTAATGTATCATTTGCTTAAACCAAAAGACTTGCTCCTTTGCCAGGATATCTTACCTTTCTTAGAATAAGCTTTTCATTCCTCCTGAGATGAGGAGGGATAACAAGTTGCCTAAAAAAGAATTTTCCTTTAAATTGTGGAAAGTCTTGAAGAAAGCATTGCTTAGCAACATTACATCTTGCCCTGACAGTCTTTGAAACTATGTTTTAACCTTAGAGTTTGCCTTTGCATTTTTGTTACTGTAATGACAACATGGCTTTTTCTCACTCCTTCAACTTTACAGTTGTTTTATTTATTATAAATCATGTTTTCCAAATATCTAGTATTTTCTTGAGTAAAGAAAAACACTGGGCTAAATGGGAGATAGGAATGTAACCATTAAATTCTATCTTCCCCCAACTTTCAGCAGCCACCAGGATGAAATCCAGTGTATCTTCCATAGCCTGCTTGGTACAATGAATTGCATCACCATATTACATAATGTGCTGGGGGTAATTCAGGCTTCTACCTAAAGTACCTGGCCAAGTGCCTGCAGCCACTGGGTACCCGTGGCTTCTCAGAAAATAAACACCCCCAGGGGTAACTTTTTGTTTCCTTTTGTATGAGTGAAACTCACTAATCCTGGAAACTTCCCACACTTGCCTGGTCCTACAGGGATCTGAGTAAGGTAGCAGGGAAAAGGGCACCTTCTCTCCTAAAGCCTGCCAGTTGTGTCATTCCTGGCCACCTGGATCCCCTCAGCCTTGTACCTTTGCACAGCTGGTATTGACATCAAGTTAATTACACGGTCCTGTGTTTACATGCAGGTCTCTTGAAAGGCTAGCAGTAAATTAGCTGCATGGAGGCAGGCTATACATCTCATTTCATCTACTTCCCCTTTCCCCTGAAATAGACTTTCTAAACACTGGCTGGTGGGGTTTCACATACACCCAGACCCATAGTATCATCCCTGTTTGTCAATGAAGAAATGGGCCAGGGTGGGGCTGCTGGTCTAGGGCCACACACAATTGTCTTAGCCTCAGGGCCAAATAGTACTCTTAAGGTTATGCTCACGTTCCTCTGCTCTCATGGTGGGTAGCTCTGCCAACACATATTCTTGCATACTTGATAAAGGAAGAAAAAACATTAATGCACATTTAAAAATGCAACAATGGATAGGAAAGAAGGGAAAGAAAAAATGAGAAAAGGAAGAAATGGAAACAAAGCTTTTGTAAATAAGGAGGGGTGAAGGGGTTGAAGGGAGGGAAGAGGAATGGGAAAAAATAAGAACCAAGATATATCATGTAAAGGTACAAATTCTCTATGACGAATGTGATCATAATGCATACCTAAAATGTACCAATAACCTTAATTAATAAAAATTGTTTTTTAAATGTTTCAGTGGTTGAGTGCTTGCACGTTAGCTTTCCAAAGGCCTCTGGCTCGCTATGTATAAGAATTATGGCGAACTAGCTTTTTGGTGCAATATGCAAATGAAGCATCATGAAGGCAAGGAGCGTAGATGTTTCTTGGTTGTTATATCTCCAGTGCCTGAAGCAGTGTAGATGAATGGTAATTAAATCTTGACTGCATTCTGTGTAGCTTTTGGGGTTGCACTTCTTGTACCTACCTCAGTGATCAAGGGCATTTCAATAGGCTTTTGATTTCTTCTCTGATGAAATCAAAGATGATCAGATCTGTAATGGCCTCTACGGGACAGGCAAGAAATCACAAACATAGAGATCAGATGATTTGTTGACATTCCCTCAGCTGGGGCAAAACCTCAAATCTCCTGACTTAATAACCCACACTGGCTTTTCTAATGCAGCTTTGCCTCAGGGCACGGCTTCAGTCACAGTTCAGCTGCTTGTCCACAGGTCTTGGACAGAACAGTTTACATAGAAGTCTTGGAAACTCAAAAGACCTCTGTATCCTCGCCTTTAAGAGCTGATAGCCAAGTTCCTTTGAGGTATTCATTTGAAGGGCAGACATTGTTAAGACTCTAAGCCAAGCAGGGCAAAAC